CTCCCAGAATTGGTCACCTTGGATGGACCAGCTTCCAGAATTGGTCATCTTGGATGGACCAGCTTCCAGAATTGGTCACCTTGGATGGACTTCTGGGAGTTGAACTCCAACCATCTTAAAGGTCCGCAGCTGAAAACACGAACGTAGACATTGTCCGCCTTGGTTCCAAGCTGACGCGTCCCCACTCACAGCCTGTAAGGAGCCTGCATTTCATCGCATCCCAAACACACAATGTTTCCTCTGTTTGTCTTTCACCCCTCCCTTCACTGCCCTGAGGGTGATGACCCCCACATGCCTTCAGGCCCCGTTTCCTTTGAAGAGCAGGGTCTCACCTGCCGTTTCTAAAGTGGAAACCATAAGTAAGCAGCGGGGAGAAACCCCAGGCCTCTTGGTCTGCTGATTTGCAAGAGGGGTGGGTGAGTTGGTATTGCCCCCCCCGCCCCCGACTCCCAGAGTCCTTCTGGAGTGTCCTGAGGTTTACACACCTCCAGCTTGACCGAGAGTGTAAACACGTTGCGCTGCTGTTCTGACCTCGGCTTCCTAAAATCACGAAGCGGAGTTCTCGTCCGATAAAACCCCTTTTATTTTAGGTTCAAGGGAATTCCTCTCCAGCAAAGTCCCAGCAAACTGTCTTCCAAGAGAGTTCACAACTGCAGACCTTTCTCAGGCTTGCAAAGTTGCCAGGCCGATAGCTTCCAAACGCCACGCTGTAGCAGCAATGACTTGGCAAGGAGTCAGGCACAGATCTTCACCCTAACGAATTGAACGAATTGTCTCCTGCAAACCCCACTCCACTTTCGCTCCTCTTTTATTCCCTTGGGGAGGGGCCATTCACTGTCCACCTATGGCTTTACTCCCGAGTCGACCCTTGTTCCTTAGCTGTTCCCTTCTTCTAGCAGCTCTGCGCGTGTGCACACAGGAAACAGGCTCCAGCTGTTCTTCTTCCCCACTGATCTCTGACTCCGAAGGCAGCTGATAACTCTCGGACGGCCCTGGTCCCATCTCTTCCTCTGACACAGAGCCTTCCCCAGACTCCAGGACTGGCCCATGTCCCTCCCCAACCTCCTCACTGTCCCAGTCTGCAGCCAGATCCACTGGCCACTGCTGGGCCACAACAGCTACAAGCCAGTGTGTCCAGATGTGTGTGTCCGTGTCCGTGTGTGTATCAGTTTTCCAGATTCCCCAATCTAGCAGGTCAGAGCGGTGGGAGTCTCCTAATCTCTCCATCTCACACCCCACCCCACCACTTGGCCTATAAACCTTACAGGTGGTCCTCAACTTACGACCACAAGGGAGCCCGGAGTTTCTGCTGCTAAGCAAGACAGTTGGTAAAGGGAGTTTGCCTGCCTTTTGTTAAGTTAGAGTTGTGGGTTGTTAAGGGAACCCGGCTCCTCCATTGACTTTGCTTGTCAGAAGGTGGGAAGGAGGGAACACGTGAGCCGGGAGGCTTGCGACTGTCATAAATGCAGGCCTTGTTGTCCAAAGCGCCTGGATTTTGATCAGGCGCTCTTCGGAAGGATGCCGCGATGGTGGTTAAAGTGTGGGAAATGGTCCCAGGTCACTCGTTTCATTGCCGCTGTCCAGGGGTGGGATTCTACTAGTTTGCACTTATTCGCTAGAACCGGTTGTTAACATTCTAAGCAGTTGGGAGAACCGGTTGTTAGAAGAAATTACAGGGCTAATCCTGTAAGGGAGGCAGGAAGGAAACATTCTGGTGTTGCTTACAGAAACTGCCTCTCCGTTAACCCTGATTACATTCTTGGCAGGACTAGACTTCCTGTCTCAGGAACGTCTCTGGAGTTATTTTTCCCCTCCTTTGCTGGTACTTTGCTTGTGTGGAGGGACCATTCAAAGTTACAATGGCACTGAAAAAAAGTGACTTATGACCATTTTTCACACTTACGACTGTTGCAGCATCCCCACAGTCATGAGAGGCCAGGCGAGGAGATGCGTGCCTCGATGTGAGAGATGTTGAGTTGGCCACGCCCAGCCAATAACATGACCGCCAAGCCACGTCCACCCAGTCACATGACCACCAAGCCACACCCACCATCTAAGCCACGCACACAAAACCGGTTGTTAAAAAATTTGAATCCCACCCCTGCCGCTGTCACTTCGAACGGTCATTCAATGAACTGTTGTAAGTTGAGGACTACCTCTACTTGTGTTATAGGAGGTCACCTTTGTTAGTTCATATCCCCAGAAGCTGAAGGTGGCCAGGAGGAGGAGGAGGAGGAGGACTGTGGAGTCGTGGTGCTCTCTGGCTTAGTGGCTTTCTTGCAGATGTTTCATAACAGATAACAGATAATCAGAGTTGGAAGGGACCTTGTAGGTCATCTAGTCCAACCCCCCACCCAAGCAGGAGACCCTACACCATTTCTGACAAATGGCAGTCCAGTCTCTTCTTGAAGGCCTCAAGGGATGACCCAACTAGGTAACATCATCAGTTCTAAGGCAGTGGGGAGATGAGGAGGAGGAGGAAGAAGAGGAAGAGGACACCCTCTAAA